CCTTCTCCCCCCCCCCCCCCCCCCCCCCCAGGCAAATGTCCTTCCTCCATCTCCTCCTGCTGAGACTGGCCAGGCTTCGGCACCAGTCCCAGGCAGCTCAGCTCCAGGGAGGCAGGCAGAGCCCGACAGGTGGGAGAAAGAAGACAATGCCCGGAGCCAGAGAGGCACTGGTGTCTGGTCCCAGGGAGAGGGGGCAGAGGAGTAGGTGAGGGGGGCTAGAGAGTGGAGAGGAGCTCTCAGTCAGCTGGTGAGAAGGCTGAGGGGAGCAAGTGGTAGGTAGAGGGAGCCAGCGGGGTCTTGGGGTGCAGTGCAAATCTAACCACCACCAGGCAGATTTGAGATTCAAATCCGCCTGGTGGTGGTTACAAGTGGGGACTCATCTGGGATTTCAACTGGGTGTCTGAAGCTCAGGACGTGCTTCCTCACCTAGGAGAAGTATGTAACCCACACACCTAGTGTGATTCACTGTCCCCTAGACCACAGAAACAGCTAAGATCAAAGACTTCTACAACACAGGCTGAGCGCCAGCTGGCTTTCAGTTCAGAGGGGAGAGGCTCCTATCCTCAGCTCCCGAGGTCCTAGGTTCAAATCCACCTGGTGGTGGTTACACAAACAGAACAGACCAAGACGCCTTCTAAGCAAGGGGTTCCATGGAGCTGTAATGCGCCCCGCCCCGGAGGGTGAGGGGGGAGGGGGAACCCCCCCTTTTTACCGTACTATTGTCGGGCGCGCCCCTCCTATCGCTCAAGGATCTCGTAATCCTCGCTAGTCTCGCCGTGCTATGCCACGCACGGGTTACACCGCCGTCGCTCCAGCGACCACACACTCGGGATCCAGGGAGGCAGGCAGAGCCCGACAGGTGGGAGAAAGAAGACAATGCCCGGAGCCAGAGAGGCACTGGTGTCTGGTCCCAGGGAGAGGGGGCAGAGGAGTAGGTGAGGGGGGCTAGAGAGTGGAGAGGAGCTCTCAGTCAGCTGGTGAGAAGGCTGAGGGGAGCAAGTGGTAGGTAGAGGGAGCCAGCGGGGTCTTGGGGTGCAGTGCAAATCTAACCACCACCAGGCAGATTTGAGATTCAAATCCGCCTGGTGGTGGTTACAAGTGGGGACTCATCTGGGATTTCAACTGGGTGTCTGAAGCTCAGGACGTGCTTCCTCACCTAGGAGAAGTATGTAACCCACACACCTAGTGTGATTCACTGTCCCCTAGACCACAGAAACAGCTAAGATCAAAGACTTCTACAACACAGGCTGAGCGCCAGCTGGCTTTCAGTTCAGAGGGGAGAGGCTCCTATCCTCAGCTCCCGAGGTCCTAGGTTCAAATCCACCTGGTGGTGTTTACACAAACAGAACAGACCAAGACGCCTTCTAAGCAAGGGGTTCCATGGAGCTGTAATGCGCCCCGCCCCGGAGGGTGCCCCGCCCCGGAAGGAAAGGGGGGAGGGGGAAACCCCCCCCTTTTTACTGTACTATTGTCGGGCACGCCCCTCCTATCGCCCAAGGGTCCCGTACCCTCGCTAGTCCCGCCGTGCTATGCCACGCACGAGTTACACCGCCGTCGCTCCAGCGACCACACACTTGGAAAAGGGGGAGAGGAAAGGGGTCCGGGCCCGCCCTCGCTCCAGACCCCAACCCAGGGCCCTAGAGTCAGGACACTGGTCCTCACTCACAATGGGGGGGGGTCTGCGAACCCTAAACTCCCCCGCTCACAGGTTCCGCGGCCCCGCCCTGGGTCACTTCTTTCTCTCCCCGGTCCGTTCTCCATTATCCTCGGCCCCCTGGGTTTAACCTCACCCAGGGCCGCCAGTACCTGGTCTCCCATGGCTCCTCCTGGGCTGCCCTGTCCCTCCGCTCGCCTCCCCTTACCGGGCGGGCGGCAGCTATTTTTAAATCCCCCACCCGACGCAGGGCGATGACGTCTCGCCCTGCATCATCTGCGGGCGCCGCGTTTCTCCGGCGCGTTGGTGATGTCACGCTTGGTGCGGGGCCGGGCGGATGCCGATTCTCCCTGTCGCTCGGGCCGGCCGGCCCTAACAGCGTCTCCCCGGGTTCGGGGCGCCCCCGGGCCGGGGCCGTCTCCGGGGAGCCACTGGTGCCATTGTAAACACAGTCCTGGGAAGAACCCTAGCAGACAGTTTTTGGAGGGCAGCACTGAGGAGCAAGAACATAGCTGGGAATGTGACACAAGATCAGGAGAAAAGAGGTACAAAACTGCTTCTTTGGGTAAATCCTTCTCTGTTTCCTCACACAGCAAGCAAGAAGATGGTGGGCACACAGCTTCTTAGTACCGTGCCCCGTATTTTATCTGTTGGGGACTGAGATGGGGTGAAGAGGATGAACAAGGGGTGGAAAACTGAAGGGAAGGGAAGAGGGACACTGAGAAAAAGTGAGGGGCAGAGGAAGGAGGGAAGGAAAGGTTCATGGTGGGCAAGGAGCATGAGCTAGAAGCTGAGGATGGGAAGGAAGTTGTGGTAAACCACCAATCAAAGGGCAGATAGTAATGCCTGGTGTTCAAATTGTAAAGGCAATCTGCTGACTTCCCCTGGAGCTGTGATGGTTTGAGGCCATAGGAGGGGAGAAATCCCTTTCTCCTTTGTAGCTGCTTGTCCTGCTGGTAATTAAGTAGTCCCTGCTGTCCTTGGAGGCTAATTCCACCCCTAGGAAGCCTTACTCAACTTCCCCCAGATCATAAACCACCTTGTGCTCCTGCAGGTGGGTTCTCATGTAAACAGAGCCTCCACTTCACCCTGTCCTGATCCCCTTGCACTCTGTGCGTGCATCTAGGTGATTTGTTTAAATCATAGAATACGAAGACTGGAAGGGACCTCGAGAGATCATCAAGTCCAGTCCCCTGCCCTCAGGGCGGGACCCAGTACTGTCTAGATAATCCCTGATAGACACTTATCTAACCTACTCTTAAATATCTCCAGAGATGGCAATTCCACAACCTCCCTGGGCAATTTATTCCAGTGTTTAATCACCCTGACAGTTAGGAACTTTTTTCTGATGTCCAACCTAAACCTCCCTTGTTGCAGTTTAAGCCTATTGCTTCTTGTTCTATCCTCAGACACCAGGAAGAATAAGTTTTCTCCCTCCTCCTTGTGACACTCTTTTAGATACCTGAAAATCACTATCATGTCAATTTTCTCTTTTCCAAACTAAACAAGCCTAATTCTTTCAGTCTTCCTTCATAGGTCATGTTCTCTAGACCTTTAATCATTCTCGTTGCTCTTCTCTGGACCTTCTCCAATTTCCCTTGGAAATCTAAAACTTGAACAATATACTGAACTTGTGTCTTATGTTTTGTACACAATACAGTATTTTCAATTCAGGCATGGGTTTTGATGGTTGCAGTATGAAATAACAAAGGAACCTGCTTTATACGAGGGGGTGGCAAATGTGATCAAATCTGAGTTTTGAAGTGATTATCTCAGGCCACGTAAAGTTACGTTTTTACAACATAAAGGAACTGCCTTTATGGACAAAGCCCATTTTCTCAATTACTTATTTTGTTGAGATTTCCACAGGCCACTGTGGTTCCCAGTTACAAATGTTGAAAGTAAAACTTTCTTAAACAAGTACAGATGCGGAATACTACACTGGCTGCTTTTGTTTCCTTACATTATTTTGTTGATCACTACTACTACTATTTGTCTCACTGCATATAACTAAATTGGAACTGTTTTCACTTCAAAGCAGGATTTTATCTTGTGTGTTTTTTAACATTACAGGAGTCTTGAACTGCTGTCATCCTGAAAATGTTTTTTCACTCTTCAGTTGCTGACTTATGAGGAAGTGGTTATTGTTTTCTTGAAATAAAACCTTCTGTAAAACAAGCTAGAAAATGTCAAAGTAGGATGTCTAAAAAATGATTATAGTAATTATTAGGAATAGGGGGGTACTTATTTGAATACTCCAGCCAGTCCCACATTAAGGGTGTAATTACTGTTGAAATTAGTAAGTGGATCTTGCACTAAAACAGCAGTACACTTTTATGCAGATGCTAAAAAGATTTTAGGAAGGATTTAAGTATTAAATTGCTAAAATTTTTATCCTGTGTGCTTTGAAGTTGACTAAAGGAAAGGCTCTCCTCATATCAGTGCCCTTTTAATAAAGCCCATTCATGCATTTATTTCAAGACTACAGTTCTACAAAATGTGTTGCAAATTTTTACTCCAGCTACTCGAATTGGCTATGCCAAGTTTTTTGTTTTGCTGCTTTCAGTATTTCCTCTTTCAATTTTGTGTAAATATTATAAATGGGGGACTTGAATTATGAAAACTTTACAAGGTGTATATGCGTGCCGTTTTCTGTCTTAAGGGTTTTGGTACACTTTCAGATTGATTGATTTGATTGATTAGTTCAAGTATGCTGTGTTTTGAGATGAGCTCTAATTAGCTTTTACCCCAATACAGATATGACCTTCACAAAAATCTGATATTGGTTAGTGGCATAATGCCATGGGGTTTTTAAAGAATATTCCTTATGAATGCAAGATCTTTTCAAGAGAATAGTGTTGTCATCAGTTTGGTACTACACACTTATAATTACTGTGTAATTATAAAACAAAAATACATTCATTACATAAAGCTTTGGATAATTATGTAGCAGAAAAGTTAAGCTTATTCATGCTGTAATGGCATCTTAGAATTTACAAAACAAATGACTTTAAGTTGGAAACAAGCTTGATTTAACAGTGTGGTTATTCTAAGGATAAATGCCTGGTTACAGGAAATATTTTGTATTGAAAAGTGCTCAGACATGTGGCCATGTGTTCTTCCTTTATATATGCGTGTGAGGTTTGTTTTTGTTTTTTTTTTTTTTAAAGAATTCAAACAGTTACCTACTTGGATTGCTTTAATTCAGAAGTGCTTACGTCCTCAATTTGATGATGATCTCCCCATAATGGATCAGTTTCCTTTCGCCAAATGTCAACAATTGGTTAAACACATAAAATTGTAAACTATGTTGCTATACATTAAAAATGTACAAGATTAGACATGCCCTGATATAAAACATATAAGATCAAGATTATATTAGTAAAGAACATCATCTGCATATCTCTGTAAGTTCAACTGTAATTTCTTACAAAATCCCTCTCATTACCAACAGAGGCAATAAAGTTCCAGTGAAATTGCCATGACTAAATCTTCTCATGCATTGTTTTAGTCTATTGTTTGTAAAACTTATTTCTAGACTTCTAAAAATATGGAATGCTAAGTCCTGAATAAAACGTGCACTAAATGACAAGCTTTTGGGGGGGAGAGGGGGAAGATCTAAGAACTGATACAACATCTTGCCTGCCACTTAATCTAAATGTTTACAACGACAAAATGGAGCTATTTTTTGTCCAGCTATGCTGCATTGATATTAACTAGTGTGTGATGGACAATACCATAAGTACATGCAGTGCATTTGTCTAAATAATGGCTGGTTTGAAGACTACAGTATATAAGTAAATGACTTTTTTTATTGAGCAACCTGTTATTAAATAAAGTAACTTATGAATTGCTTCAAAACTGTTTTACAATGAAATCCTTACTGAGAGATCCTTATTTAAGAAAGATATAATTTTTTTAAAATGCGTTTAATAAACTTTTGTCATTCACATTTATTTATATAATTTTGCAAGAAGTCTCTGTAGATTTTATTTGAGCATGATACATTGACTGTCATTAGGTTTTTAAATACAGCGTGCCGTTAGATAAGCTAACCTCTGCAGAAATGTGATGAAAGGCATAGTTGGGAGACAGTTAAATTTCACCTGGAAAAGTTTTATTTTGCATTTTAATAGGCACACTTGTGTGTAAGCGGCAGTATGGTGTCATGTTAGTATCCGTAAACAATTGGAGAGAAATATCATTTTTAAATAAAAACCATTCACTGGCTGCTAACTTACCATTAAATTAATTTGTTAATCACACATTTATCTTTAAGGCCAGAAGGAACCATTGTAGTGATCCATTGTGACCTACATAATACCGGTCATAGAACCTCACTTATGTATCAAGCCTTTATGTTTGATCATATCTTTTAGAGGGAGAGATTCTTGTTTTTAAAGATTTAAATGTTTTTCAAATCATGAAGAATCCATCCCATCCCTTTGTAGGTTGTTCCAGTGTTTCCAACTAGGGTTGTTAAATATCAATAAGGTTATCATGAATTCTTATTGATTAGTGGTCTATTCTATAGTCCCTGGGGACGGAGCCAGCAGCAGTGCAGAGTGGCAGCAGTCCCTGTCCGGGGGGAAGGAATGACTGAGCTCCTGGACCTAGCACGAACTGGAACTGAGCCAGGTTCTGCCCTCCTTAATGCACTCTAAATCCAGATCCACAGCAGGGGGTAGATCTCAGACTTGGCACAAGCCAGGACTGAGCCAAGCTGCTGGATAGCCTGATAAAAAATTTACTGGCAAGAGAATGGGGGGGGGAAATGTGTGTAGTCTATAGCATTAACCTAAAGCTTTTTCTTATTGGTTAATTGACGACACTATTACATCTCGGTTTCCAACAGGCTCTTTAAAAACCAAAACAGCTCCTTATTTCTATTCGGAAGTTGTCTAGCTTAGCATCCAAGATTTTGAACTCATTACACCCTTAACTGTCAGAAACATTTTTTTTTTTTTTTTTTTGCAACAGCGTCACACTGTTGACTCATATTTAGCTTGTGGTCCACTATAGCCCCTAGAACTCCTTTCTGCCATACTCCTTCCTAGACAGTCGCTTCCCATTCTGTATGTGCGAAACTGATTGTTCCTTCCTAAGTGGAGCACTTTGTATTTGTCGTTGTGACGGGGCAGAGGCACCCCACACTCCGGGCCCGCTGGCGGCCGCTCTCAGGACAGGGGGCAGAATAGCGACGCCAGGCACGCCGCAGCCTGGGGGCCGAGCGGCGCCAGAGACGGCCTACTGACGGTGCGCCAGGTGTTCACAGGCGGCCTCCCCGGCAGGACGCCTGAGTATGACTGGGAGTCTGGATGCCGGCGCAAGGGGGGTGACGCGCGTGAGGATGACGGGGGGTCTGGATGCCGGGGCAAGGGGGGTGACGTCATCGTGCGGCCCCGCCGCCGGCCCAGAAGCATGGCAATGCCGGAAGGGGTGGGGCCCCGTGGGCCGGGAGCCGGCACAGTGATTTAAACCCCAGGAGATGCTGGGGAGGGGGAGAGCTTGGAGGGAGCAGCCCCGCACCGAGGAGCAGCGACGG